TGGTTTTTGGAAATCCAAAAAGATCCTTCTGGATCTTCAAGGAATTTCCCAGCACTGATTAATTTAATTTAATTTAATTTAATTTAATTTAATTTAGGCCAAATTTCCCATTAATTACCCCAATTAGATTCATTTAATTTAATTAATGTAATTAAACTCATTTAAATTCATCAATGAATTAAACGAATTCATTAAAACCCAATTTTAAATTAATTAAAATTTCAATTAAATTAATTTAAACCCAAATTTCCCTCCGCGACATCCAAAGGTTCTGGAAAGTTCCAGGAAATTCCAGAAAAAGGAAAAATTTGTGGAATTTTGGGGCCAATTCCAGCCTGGTCCTCAAGGAATCATCGGGAATTTTGGGAATTCTGGGAATTTAAAAAATTTTGGGAATTTTGGGATCAGCTCTGGGCTCCTTATTCCAAGGATTTGGAGGAAAAATCAGGAAAAAATTGGGAATTTAGAGGGAAAAAATTAGGGAATTTTGAGGGGAAAAAAATCAGGGATTTTTGAGGGAAAATCGGGAATGGCTGAGGAAAAAAATTGGGAAATTTTGATGGAAAAATTTGGAATGGTTGTGGGGAAAAACTTGGAAAAAAGGGGAATTTTTGAGGGGAAAAAATCTGGGAATCGATGAGGGAAAAATCAGGAATTTTTGAGAGAAAACCAGGAATTATTGAAGGGGAAAAATTGGGAATTTTTGAAGGAAAAATTGGGAATTTTTGAGGGAAAAAAACTGGGAATGAATGCGGGGAAAAACTTGGGGAAAAAGGGAATTTTGGAGGGAAAAAAATTAGGACTTTTTGAGGGGAAAACCTCAGAAAAAATGGGAATTTTTGAGGGAAAAAAATTGGGAATTTTTAAAGGAAAGAATTGTGGATTTTGAGGGAAAATTGAGAGTGGATGAGGGGAAAAATTAGGAATTTTTGAGGGGAAAAATTGGGAATTTTTGAGGGAAAAACTTGGGAATGTTTGAGGGGAAAAACTCAGAAAAATTGGGAATTTTTGAGGGAAGAAACTGGGAATGGTTGAGGGAAAAAATTTGGGAATGGCTGAGGGGAAACACTTGGAAAAAATGGGAATTTTTGAGGGAAAAAAATTGGGAATGGTTGAGGGGGAAAAATTGGGAATGGTTGAGGGAAAAAATCAGGAATGGTTGAGGGGAAAAACTTGGAAAAAAAAATGGGAATATTTGAGGGAAAAAGCCAGGAATGGCTGAGGGAAAAAATCGGAAAAACTGGGAATTTTTGAGGGAAAAAAATTGGGAATTTTTAAAGGAAAAAATTGTGGATTTTGAGGGAAAATTGAGAATGGTTGAGGGGAAAAACATTGGAAAAAAAATTGGGAATATTTGAGGGAAAAGCCAGGAATGGCTCAGGGAAAAACTCGGAAAAACTGGGAATTTTTGAGGGAAAAAATTGGGAATTTTGAGGGAAAATTGAGAGTGGTTGGGGAGAAAAATTGGGAATTTTTGAGAGGAAATATTGGGAATTTTTGAGGGAAAAACTTGGGAATGTTTGAGGGGAAAAACTCAGAAAAATTGGGAATTTTTGAGGGTAGAAACTGGGATTGGTTGAGGGAAAAAAATTGGGAATGGTTGAGGGGAAACACTTGGATAAAATGGGAATTTTTGAGGGAAAAAATTGGGAATGGTTGAGGGGAAAAAATTGGGAATGGTTGAGGGAAAAAATCAGGAATGGTTGTAGGGAAAAAATTGGGGAAAAAATTGGGAATATTTGAGGGGAAAAAGCCAGGAATGGCTGCGGGAA